CACAACTACATTTCCAATATAGTTTATTAAATGTTTCCTAAACGTTTATTTCCAATGAATTTTATATTTTATGATTCATTTTCAAAATAAGATTTTTTTAAACGTTTATTTAACGTCTATTAAATGTGAGTTTTATATTAATTTTTCGTTTGTATTAATTTCGATGAAACATTTTTTTAACGTTTATTTAACGTTAATTAATCATTTATTAAATGTTTATTTTACATAAGTTTTCATTTAAAATATTGTTTCGAAGGAACATTTTATAAACATTTATTTGACGTTTATTAAATATTTGTTTTATGTTATTTATTTCTTTAAAATATAATTAAAAAAACATTTATTTATCGTTTAATTGATGTTTATTATAAATGTTAAAACAATTTTATTATTTTCTTAAATTCAAATTAATAATAAACGGATCAAAATAAAAAAAATAATCACGGAATAGAAGTTAACCAAATATAATTGTGTTAAGTGTATCATATATGAACAATAAGAATTATGTATTATACATCGATAATTATAAATGGTGTAACGGATAAGATATAAGACTCATAATTCTAAGGTCCCAAGATATAAGACTTATAATTCTAAGATCCCAAATTCAAAACCCGGTGAGTAAAATAGATAAAAATATATTTAAAAATAATAATTAATTAATAAAATTGATTGTCCAAGATTTAGGTACTATCAATAAAAAATAATATATAAAAAAATGATTCTGCATTATATTTTTTCTAATTTTATTCAAATAATTTTGACATTAAAAAAACATTTCTTTAAACGTTTGAATAAACGTTTTTTTAATGAAAAAGGGGGATTTTTCTTGTTACTTTAAACATTACTTTTATCGTTACAAAAACATTTCTGTCAAATCTTAAAAAAGAGTTTTTTTTTACATTAAAAAAACGTTTCCTTAAAATATTAAAAAATGTTTTTTTAGCATTAAATAAAAGGTTTTTTTAATGTTTGAATTAAGATTTTTTTATTTAAAAAAAGAGTACTTTTATCATTATTTTAAATGTTTTCGAAAACGTTTTTTTAATGTTTTGAAAAATGTTTAAAAAAACGTTTTCTCAAACTTTTTTCTCTTTGGAAAATGATGCATCCCTATTGTGAAATATAAACAAGGTAAATGATGCACATTATGCGAGAAATGGAATGCACTTTAGGTTGAGTTAACAATGGTGCGATTTTACTTTCATCAAAAAAATTTTTACATAATTTAAATGTATTTAGCATTTAGTATTTATGAATTTAAAATACAAAATATTAAAAAAATATTTGAATACAAAATACAAAATATTCTCAAAAAAAAAGTATTTATAATATATATAAAATACAAAATACGAAAATATATTGGGAGTACAAATTAGTTCGGTCCGTTTTTTTGTGTTCAAAAATGCATTTATTTCAAAATAAAATGAATGAACAGATTAATTAAAGTATTGTCCATCGCTGGCTACTACTTTTTCTCATCCTATCTCTCAGGCAATTTTCGAATTCCATCTCGAAAAAATGACTACTCGTCTTTGGAGGCGATCCAATTTTGGAGTCAATTTTCGATTTCTGCGAAAGAAGTGAACCGGTGACTTCCCAAATCGTGCTGCATCCTTCGAAACAACCAGTAATTAGAAAGAGCAATGTCCGGAGAATACAGTGGATGCGGTAAAACATCCCATTTGAGCGTTTCCAAATATTTTTTTACGAATTTTGTGACATGAGGCCGAGCGTTGTCATGAAGAAAAACTTTATCATGTTTTTGCTCGTATTCCGGCCGTTTTTCTCGCAATGCACGGCTCAAATGAATCAATTGTAGCTGATACCGATTGCCCGTAATGGAATCGCCAGATTTCAACAGCTCATAATAAACAACACCCTTTTGGTCCCATCAGATACAGAGCATAATCTTCGAACCATGAATGTTCGGCTTTGGTGTTGATGTTGAGGTCGATGGCAACGATTGACCGGGCTTAGCGTAATATTTTTTCTTCTTGGGATTGTCGTAGAATATCCATTTTTCATCTCCAGTCACAATCCGATGCAAAAAATCTTTTCTTTGTTGTCTTTGAATCAGCTGTTCGCAAGTGAAAAATCGCCTTTCAATGTCTCTCGGTTTCAGTTCATAAGGCACCCAATTTCCTTGTTTTTGAATTATTTCCATGGCTCTCAATCGTGCAGAAACGGCTTGTTGAGTTACTCCCAATGATTCTGCAAGCTCCTCTTGCGTTTGACTCTGATCTTCTTCGAGTAATGCCTCTAATTCTTTGTCTTCGAATTTTTTTGGCTGTCCAGAGCGAGGCTTGTCTTCAACGTTGAAATCTTCATCCTTGAAACGTCGAAACCATTCCCTACATGATTTATCAGTTGGAGCAGTGTCACCGTAAACTTCGACAAGCATTCGATGGGCTTCAGTTGCACTTTTCTTCCAATTAAAGCAGAAAATTGGAACCTCCCGCAAATGCTGCTTGGTTAACACAAAATTCGACATTTCAAACACAGTAAAAATCAAGATTTTTGTATGAAACTCAAAGCGATATAAACTGAATATTATTAGCAAATGTCTAATCTATCTGAAAACACCAAAATCAGCTGTCACTATGAACTATTCACAACAACTATCTTTTGGAAAACGGACCGAACTAATTTGTACTCCTACATTGTGTATCTGCTACATCCGCGCTCGGAATACCATTCAATTGGAGCGCCTCCTTCCTCTTGGCCTCGCGAAATCGTAAATTCCGGGAACGTCTCCTCACTGATGTTATACACTCTGTAATGCAACCGGGATCTCTTCAGGATCCGGTCGCACTATGAAAAATCAAACTTGTTTAAAATTGTAGCAGATTTTTGTGGCATCATTTCTATAGCTGAGATCATTTTAAACTCCTCTCGTATATGCATCTTGATTTCTGAATGAAGTGTAAGTATGAGATATGTTAAAAAAATCGAATCTTTGATCGGTAAAAATACATTTATTCATACACAATACATTTACTCTAATCTCCTTCAAAATAGTTCCCTTGGTAATGCACATACTTCTCCCAGCGGTCCCGTTATTGTTGGAAATACTTCTGTTTGAAGGAGATTAGAATAAATGTATTGTGTATGAATAAATGTACCTTTGCCACTAAAAGTTCGATATTTTTTGAATACCTTGTATATACCAAGCAGATATAAACCAGATGGTGTTTATACCAACATGTGCTGCTTGGCACTAACCAGAGTCTCCTCAAATTTTTGAATTTAGTTTTGCGTTTTCAAAATTCCTTTTGATATGTTACATACAATCAATTTATGTAAAGAAAGAAATATACTTTTTCGACCTCCATCATTTTTCTCTCTTATTAATTTTTGGGTTTTTAGCTTTTCAGTAAAATTGATCTCCTGTAAAAATGAGTGTTTGTACCAAATTGATACTTAACAAACTTTTAATTCAAATTTATAAGGAATAGATCTTAAGTTCAATTTACTGCTCAAATTCAAATTCTTGTACATGATATTGCTAAAAAAAAGTGCGTATTCTTGGGTGGTCTTATCTTTCAATTAAATTCTGATGTAGTAAAAACATGACAGATATTGTCGAGACTATTAGCAGTATAGGTTTTAATCTAACCAGGATCGGATCGATGACATCATATGCTTTACTTTGATATGCTTATTGATTTCTGATTGAACGGGATCATAATACTTTCAAGTCAAACATGAGTTAACCGAACTAGGTCGGGTTCAAACCCACCGTATTCGAAAACGCTATATATAATATAATAAAAATAATAATGACTAAAGTAATTAGCATTTTTATCTTTACAAATATTGATTTGATACTGAATTTGATACTGATGATTCACATGCAAATATTGATAAGTACTATATGGGCTAAAAAGTCCCGGGATTTTTCAATAGGTCAGTTCAATAGACGCCACTAGAAAATGAACATGATTCATTTCGAGAGGTTCATCTGTCACTAGTTTATGTATGAAGTTTCATGACATTTCGTTCATTCGTTTACAAGCTACAGTCGTTTAAGTGGCGTTACTTTCGCCTTCATAAAAAAAATGGAAAAACAGAAATATCACATCTTGATCAAACATTGTTTTTTGATGGGAAAAACTTGTGAACAATCATTGAAATGGTTGCAGAAATGTTATCCCACATCTGCTCCTTCGAGAACAACAGTTTATCGGTGGTTTAGTGAATTTAAAATGAGTCGTAGCAAGCACTGAAGACGTACCTCGCTCTGAAAGGCCAAAAAAGGCTACGAATGCGGAAATCACAAAGCAAGTACATCGAATCGTTTTGAGTGATCGTAAAGTGAAGTTGCGCGAGTTAACTGAGG